ATTGTTTTTGTTTTGTAATACAAAATAATCGATAAATAATTTAAATTTTATTCACATCAATATAGAAACAACATTAGTAAAATTACTAGAGAAATCATAAAATTTTCTTAATATTTTTTTAATTTCAGTCCACATAATATAAGTGATGAAATGACGTGCTCAGAAATTTTTTAAGTTAAATTTTTTTTGAAATTTTATTTTTTAATAATCCACGTGCTGTATTTGCATAACTTGGTATGAATCTTCCAATGAAAGATTTGCAACATAATCCTATCCACTATTTTGATTTAATCATTAGTTTCACATCAAATAACTTTTTTATTTTTTATACTGTTTTAATAGTGAAAATTGACCGTTGAGGAGGTTTTCTTATAATACCCCAAAGGTTTGGACCTAACAGTAATTTTGGATACACCGAGGGGCAAATGGTTTTTACCCGCACTATCACATTGGTACGAAAAGGTCTTCGGTTTTTTTATTTTCTTTTATGTGGTTGAGCATAAAATATCTTGTTGGCCCCAATAGATAGCGACTACTCAGGATTGAAATACAACACGAGGTATATTGTACAAATGGGTGGCTATCTCGTGAAACTGTTTTAATATTTATATTTATTTTTTTCTCTTATCAAGACGTCTGGTAATTTCTATCATCAAAATTGTTGTGATGTGACACTTGATGACACACGTGGAAGTCAACTTGTAGTGTGGCTGGTCAATGTAAATTGTTAAGGCTTGAGGGATAGTTTAGTCTTTTTGCTATCTTTGAACGACCTAATCTGTTTTAGGCCTTGTGCGCAGCTCACTTCTCTCCATTCTCTCTTGGTTAACAGAGAGAGAAATCAGTTAGAGGTGTTGTGTTGGAAATCTGAGGTTCGTCCATGGAATCAACGGTGATGGTAGGTGTTAGCTGTCCTTATTGTTTAGTCTTTCTTTTGCTATATAAATTGATACTAATTTCGGCCTATTTGATGTGGTATGAGTGGTGAGAGCATCTGGGTATACGGGTGTAAAATCAGAAGGGTTTTGTTTCGGGTTTGTGCCTGTGTAAAGGGGTGAGCCAATTCTTCTGTAAGGTTTCTCAAACTCAAAGTGAAACTTTTCTTTCTTGCTCTGAAGAGTGGATGTAGGTAATCGTTAAGATTACCGAACCACTATATGTCTGGTGTCATCTCTCTTTTCCTTCTTCTTTATTTTTGCTTAATCGTTATTACTGTACTCAATATTTGTGGTTGCTGCATTTTGGTTACTGCATGTTTGTACTGTTTTGGATTACATTTTACAACAAAAATTTTAAATTTGAGAAGTTTCAGATTCATTCAAATTAAAAAGACGAACTTTAAATTTGAGACATTATATTCTGTTGATGTTTGAAATTTATTCAAATTAAAAAGACACCTTATTACAATTGTACATGATTTTAACTTTCTTTACCATATTTTCAATGGTACAATTGTACATTGATATTTTCAATGAATTTCAACCATTCAAAAAATCTAACGTCTCAAATTCAATATTCTGATTAAAGAAAATATCAAAGGGTGCGTTTGGTTTAGTATTTTGGATAGGATTTTGAGGATAGTATTGGGTCATTGGATAGGGGAGTATTACGAGGTAAATTTTAAAAATTTATAAAAAAACCCTTAGGTTTACTAATTTAATTAAAGACCTTAACATATAAAATGACAAAAACACCCCCACCACCTGTAGTGCCAGATTCCGGCCACCACCGTCGAAATCTGGTTGGAAATTTTTGTTACGGCACAGACCGGTCGGATCTGTGCCGTAACACGTCGTTATGGCCTTTTCCGGCCAGATCCATGGTGGATTTGGCCGGAAAAGGCCAGATCTACAGTCCGTTATGGCCATCGACGGCCGGAAAAGGCCAACCGATGGCCATGCCAAAGATGTGGCCGTCGTTTTCGGTCAACAATGGCCATTTCTTTAGCCGTCGCTGAAGGCCAGATCTGGCCTTTTTCGGCCAGATCCGTGGTGGATCTAGCCGGAAAAGGCCACATTGGTGAACTTCCGACCATTTCTGGTCGAAAGTTAGGTCGTTGTATAGATTCCGGCTATCACCGACGGTGGTTGCTGGAATCTGACAAGTTGGGTTGATGGGGGTGTTTTTGTTAATTTTTAAATTTTTTTTTCAGGAGGTATTTAGTGAAATTAATAACCTTAGGGGATCTAAAAGTAATTAAAAAAATAGGGTAATATTTATGGAATAATGTGCCAAACATTATTTGGAGAATAGGATCCAGAATATAGATAAAAATACTAAGCCAAACATAGCCAAAAAGTCCTAGTAAGAGAAAAGTGAGCAAACCATCTTTTAGTAATGAAATTGACTACTAAACATCAATGTTTAATCAAAATAAGATAGAAAGATAAATATGAAACACACGCCATAATTTGTGGGCTCCAAAGGACTTGTTTCACAATCAATCAACGCTAGAACTTAGGTTCTATTCATTTATGAATTTTACTTATCTAGTTAGTGTCGAAAATTTATCTTTATATATATATATATATTTTATCTTCTCTTTCCTAAAACAGAAACTTTCATTTCGAATCAAGACTTTTAACACAATTTCAAATAGAATAAACGAACCCTCCAAGACAAAACAAATAAGTGATACTTTGAAGTTGTTTTATGGAATTTTGTATTTTATTTTATTTTTCTTTGTGTTCTCATATAAATATGTTAAACATGTTTTTAGACAAACGTATCCAATTTTTCGTACTCCCCCGTCATTTTCAACACTCTAAAAAAATAAAACAAAAAAACAATATTCATTAAAGTGCAACTTTTAAATACTAATTATGGTATCTACTTTTAATGGTTTGATGGTTAGTCCATTCAAAGTGTCATGCATTTGGGTACAATTATTAACTTCAAATTTAGGGGTGTTTGTCTGAGCTTATGAAAATTAGCTTATAAACAACAAGTGTTTATAAGCTAATTTTAGCTTATAAGCAATTACATGTTTGGTTAAAGTACTTATAAGTGACTGATAAATAGTTGAAGTGTTTGATAAAATGTGGCTTATAAGTATATTTTATTATAAAATGACTAAAAAGGGTATTACATTAAACAAGGGTATACTATAAAATTTTAAAATTAAACAAGGATAATATGATAATATACTTGATCAAACTAGCTTATAAGTAAAATAAATAAATAAATAACTTAGGTTATTTTTATTTTATTTTATTTTTTTGCTTATAAGCTCAAAAAAGTTATAAACAAATAAGTTAACTTAATTTTAGAGCTTATAAACTAGTTTGACCAGCTTATAAACTAGTTTGACCAGCTTATAAACTTAGACAAACACTCCCTTAATTGATTTTAAGGGAAACATAAATTAACCTATTATTAAATAGAGCATCTAATCTAAGCAGCAATTGTATACTTAAATGGGAAATTAATTTACTCCCGGTAAATTCATTTTTTTTATTTTCACCCTTAATTTTTTAACTTAAACACAGTGACACGTATAAATGTAATTTCCTAATTTATCTGGCCCTCTCTTTCATTAAGCATTATTTTGGCCCCCCACAAAAATTTTCTGGCTCCACCCCTGTAACTACCCTAAGCCCATGGACGACCGATGAGTCACTGCCTAAAAATTATTATTTTTAAAATACATTACATAAATTTAAAGAGAAAATATTTGTTTTTTGTTTAATTGCTCCACCTCATGTTTAGGGAAAAATCTAGAATACAAAGACTATATTACCATCGTCCAGTAAATTTATGCCACTCATGGTTATTAAATTTAACAGCTACTCGACATACATGGGTGCGTTTGGTTTAGTATTTTGGATAGGATTTTAGGGATAGTATTGGGTTATTGGATATGGGAGTATTACGAGGTAAATTTTAAAAATTTGTAAAAAAGCCCTTAGGTTTACTAATTTAACTAAAGACCCTAACATATAAAATGCCAAAAACACCCCCACCACCTGCAGTGTCAGATTCTGGCCACCACCGCCGGAATCTGACCGAAAAATTTTGTTATGGCACAGACTTGTCGGATCTGTGCCGTAACACGTTGTTATGGCCTTTTCCGGCCAGATCCATGGTGGATCTGGCCGGAAAAGGCCAGATCTACGGTCTGTTATGGCCGTCGACGGCCGGAAAAGGCCAAACGAGGGCCATCTTTGGCCGTCAGCGACGGCCAAAGATGTGGCCGTCGTTTTCGGTCAACGATGGCTAAGATTTGGCCGTGGCTGACGGCCAGATCTGGCTTTTTTCGGCCAGATCCGTGGTGGATCTGGCCGGAAAAGGCCACAGCGGTGAACTTCCGGCCATTTCTGGTCGGAAGTTAGGCTGTTGTACAGATTCCGGCTATCACCGACGGTGGTTGCCGGAATCTGACAAGTTGGGTTGATAGGGGTGTTTTTGTTAATTTTTAAACTTTTTTTTCAAGGGTATTTAGTGAAATTAATAACCTTATGGGGTTAAAATGTAATTAAAAAAATAGGGTAATATTTTTAGAATATTGTACTAAATGCTATTTGGAGAATAGGATCCAGAATAGGGATAAAAATATTAAACCAAACATGCACCATGTATTATTGTCTTTTGATTCCAAGTCAACAATATTTAAATACAAATAAACTATTCATTTTAATTACTTCGTTAAATCATCGTCTTCTTATATAAAATTACTATAAAGGATACATATTGATTATATATATCCAAATTCTTTTGCGGAATATGTACATATCCTGATATCCGCTTCTTCGTCGAATTATTTATATAGTTCAATCAACTCTTAATTCACGTTGTGAGTCACGGGTAACCGGTTTAACCCCGGTAATATAGAAGTCCGCTAACATTAAAACTCAGCAAACCGACAAATTTAACTGTACACGGGGCAATGAGGTCTCCATAAAGAAGAGCCAAGGCCCTCACCATTCATCCAACAATTAATTTTTTTTTTTTTTTTTTTCATGAAAAAAGCTCATACATTCACCTGGCATCTGTCTTCTGTCTTCTATCAGTCTCGGTCTCTGGCTCTGCACACAACAATATTCATTTTCTTTTCTTATTTTTTCGGTTCAAGAATTTTTGTTCACCATTTCTTAAATAAAAAAGAAGAAAACCAATTTGACATGAAATTATGTACTTTTGACTTGACAGCAATTGAGATTTAACAAGAATAACGAGCTTACACGCTTGTTGTTTTGTTTAATGCGACAAAGATTGTCGTCATCACTCTCACTTTCAATAACGTGTTTAAAAGTCTTGCAAGCTCTACTAGCTGTGCAGAAAGTTAACATTTTTCTTTGATTTGCTGGAGCAAGCTGCAGTTTTTCTCACTCCTATGGAGACTTTCCTTCTTCCGCTGTCCTCTGTTTCTCCTTCAGTTTTCTCTGGTATGTGTTTTTTCTGTTCCTTTTGGCTTTTACTCATCTGGGTATCTTTTTTTTTTTTTAATTTTTAATTTCTTTATTTCAATTTTTGTAGAGGTAGGTAATAATCCATGATAGGACCATGCAGGGTTAGAGTTTTATTTATGTTGAAAGACACTATTTTTATGAAACAGACTATGTTGTACATTATAACTGATGCATGGTGTACATTTTATAGGTAGAAGTAGTTCTTGCAGGAGTAAAAATTTGAAGGCATGTCATTTTCCAAGTAAGTTTTTCTCTTCTTATAATCTAGTACTGGTTGCATGTAAATTATAGGCTTGGATTTACTTTACTCTGCCTTTGAGATTAAATTTTTTTAAGAAAATGAAGGATGAAAATAGTTGCATAGAGGCCTGATTCTGAAAGTTCTGTAATATTATCATAGAATAGTGGCTGAGAGATGGTCAAACTTCATGAGGTTTTAATGCAATTTAAATGATTTCTGTGATGCCAAACTGTAACTTTGACTAAGCTTTTGATTAATACATTTGAGATCCCTTAGGTTTATATTTTAGGATTGGAGCTTTGATTTTTTCTTTTTTTTTTTAGGTTAGTAACTTGTTTGTTGCAGTATCTTCTACTTGAATAATAAAATAATCTATGAAAGATTTACGAAATTGGTTTAGAATTAGTATTTTGATGATCTAATATACTGTCTACTCTGCTAAGCCTAATTCCTAGGTGAAATAGTTAAGTGTTCTATTAGAGACTTAGAAATGCATATGTGGTCTGGCATTCATAGATTGTTCTAATAGTCCACCTTGTTTGTGGCTAGATATCTGCCACATATTATGATGCTATTTTCTCACTGATCCGGAAAACAAAATACTTCAAATTCTGTTCTTCAGCATCAGTTCTACTCCTTCATTAACACAATTCAAGTCTCTCGGATAACAGGTTCTTGTGACGGAGTTCGAGTTTCGAGGTCCAAATCATGGAACATCCTAGAAAAGTCTCGTGTTAGAGCTATAGAGCCTGGATCAACATTCCACCAGAGAAATAATCCAAAGTTCCTGGCAAATTCAGCCTCGGGTAACCCTCTTGATTGTGAGCCTGAAGCTTATAAACCCAAGAGCGTTTCAGACATGGTTACAAAAGCCATAGACGCATTTTACAGGTTTTCAAGGCCTCACACAATCATAGGCACAGTTAAGTTTACATTTGATTATATAGATTCAATAAAAGTTAAATGTTGATTGGTGGATCTCCTCAAGATTCCTTGTGTAATTTATTTGTAAATTTGAGTTATATGGTTTTACTTTTATATTTTTGGTTCTATTGAGAAGAAGGGAGAAAAGCACTAAGCCACAGACTGTACTTTTTCTCCTTACAGGCATTAAGCATTGTATCAGTTGCTCTCCTTGCTGTTGAAAAGCTTTCAGATATATCTCCGTTATTTTTTACTGGAGTTTTGGAGGTATGATCCAAGCATCTGAACCGTTTGAACAGTTCATTATTATGCCTAATCATTATGATTTATTAAACATATGTTAATTTATCTTTCAGGCTGTTGCTGCTGCCCTCATGATGAATATTTATATTGTTGGTTTGAATCAATTGTCAGACATTGAGATAGACAAGGTAGGTTTATGGATGAATCATTTTGATAATGTTTCAGTATTGTTTAATTAAAAAATAATAATAATAATTGAAGTTTCAACTACCTCCTTTTAGACCTTGAATCTTTTCACTAACGGTTGCAATATTGGTGCAAATGCTGGGAGGATCTGTTGATTGGATCATCAATCTGCATATGTCATCAATGGCCAAATACTGAATTGATCAAACAATCTACATCTCCCGCCTATTCACTATTCTTCTTAGTATCCAATTCTAGTATGTAGTTGAGACACAGCATATGTGATTCTATATGTGGAAATCGGCAATTAGTGATGCTCTATTGTTTATTAATGTGTGATTCTACATTTTGTAAACTAACCATACAAACTGTGTGGCATAAAAAAAATGGAGGAGCAAAATAGCAAAAAGAAATAGTTAAGTAAATTAAAGTAGATGATGTGGCAATGACACAAAGGACCAGATTAGTTTGTGTATAAGAGTTTGTTTGGTTGGTTTGTGAGTATCCCATGACTTATTGTTAAGAGCTCTAACTTTCTGTACATTCTTTGTGTGGACAGAATTACAACAACGATTCAAGGATACATATTTGGATCATCTAATTGCAGATTTGTACATTGCAGGTCAACAAGCCATATCTTCCTTTAGCATCAGGAGAATATTCTTTCAAAACTGGTGTGCTGATTGTTGCATCCTTTTCCATCATGGTATGAGCTTTAAAGTTATTCCTCTAATTTGTTTGGATTTAACTATAATTGAATAATCTGATGTTTACAGTGGTATAAATTTAATTTGCAAATTGCAGACAGGAAAATTTTCCTCAGTTGTTGCCCCCTATGATCAACTAAATATTACTGTTGAAGAAGAGACTAAATAGATCTTGTGGTGGTTAAAGTTATTCTGTTTTAGAGAAGGAATATCAGTTTCTTAATTGAATTCATTTGTAACCTATTTTAACAATCTTAATTTTTCTGTCTTACTTTTTTATCATCAAAATATAAGTGGCTTTGATTAAGCAAGGGGGAAAAAAGAGTATATAAAGCTGATCATGTTTCATTCATCTTGAAAAATAAACTACTAGTTTTATATACTAGGATAATCAAACAAGGAATAGGTCTTTCAGAACTTCAGTGCTCTATTTGAGATTCTGAAAGGTTAGAGCTATAGTACCTGTGATACAATAACTTGAATTTTTTCTGACATTAAGAATTTTTTTTTATATTCTAGTAGCAAAACAGTAATAAATCCAATAGACATAAAATGACCCTCACACATGCTGGATCTTGGATTAGAAAAAGTTTTTGGTAGGAAAACATCTCATCGGCTCTTCTCTTTACCTTCTAAAGAGAGCTTTACTTCTCGAAACCAACAATGATTGTGCCATCAGTAGCTTATTTTGTACTTCACATATGGCTTATTTTTAGAGTTTGGATATTTATTATAATGCCCTTCCCAAAGATTCTAACTTGTCTGTCTGAAATGAATTGGGGTCTTTTACTTTTTCCAGTAGATAGTTACTGTGATTTTGAAATGTCAATAGAATTCCTTGTTTAAATTTTGCAACATGAATAAACTGACCAGGTAAAAACCTCTTGGATTTAACTTTGAATTCTCAGTAATTTTTAGGTAAACACAGATGAAGTGTAATGTGCCATTTGTAAAAGTAGGCTACTGTTGTTTCAATTGTTTAACTCTGCAAATCTGATTGTTCACGATCCGGATTCTTAACTGCAAAGATGCTAAATAATTTCCTTTCTACCTTTACAGAGTTTTTGGCTTGGATGGGTTGTTGGTTCATGGCCGCTGTTTTGGGCTCTTTTCATCAGTTTTGTACTAGGAACTGCATATTCAATCAATGTGAGTTATTATTACAATATTGGCATGTGATTTGTTTTCACTCCCAACTAATTTTAGGAAGCACAAATTGATATGTTTTACTGCTCTCAGTGCAGCATACATATGACTCTTCATTGCATAATCTTGCATTTGTATGGTCCTCTTCATGCTTTCAAATAGTTTGTGATGAAGTCAAGAGGTACTGCGTTAGATTTACAGGAATACAATGCAGTCATGTTGTCAATTTTACGCATCTAAAGTATCTACAAAACATATCAGAGATAATGTCTACTCTGCATTCCTCTTAAGCGCTTGATCTGGAAAATGCTTGTATTTGCTTCAGCATCACAACTAATTAAATACAAAGCTAGATATCTATGTGGAAGTATATTAGGTTTCTATTTGCTTTCAGGGCTGAGATAGCATTAGAAACTTCAAAAAAATCTCTGTGCTGCTTGGAGTAGAGACATTCATTCAAATTATGGAGTTGGCTATTAGAGTTAACAGTCATTTATCTTTGTGCTATTTCAGTTGCCACTGTTGAGATGGAAAAGGTTTGCAGTGGTTGCAGCTATGTGCATCCTAGCAGTTCGAGCAGTAATAGTTCAACTTGCTTTTTATCTTCACATGCAGGTCATTTTTCACCTATTTCCTTTTCAAGTCTCTTAGAAGTTTAATTATTGCCTTAGGAAATTTTGTATCTTGCGATTAAACATATTGTTATTTTGATTTTATCTAATTTCTTTGACTGAGTTTTCTTATTTGAGCTGGTGTTATGTTAGTTATTGTAAGTAAATTTTTGTTCTGTATATTATTTAGGTCTTGGCCAATATATAAGTTGTCTTCTTATTCTCAGTTTTGTAGAAGACTTGATGGTTATTGAATAAGGAAATCTGAGTTTCTTCGTCAAATGTTTTGTCCCCTTTCTGATTCTTCTAGTTTATTGGCCCTCTATTCTCCCTATTTCTCTTTATTTCTTTATCTCTTTTTCTGCCCCACCTGTTGAACATTACTCTCTCTTTGGTGTGAGATACATGGCTTATAGACCTCGTTTCTGATTAAAAATCAGGATGTCTATATAACCACACTGATATTGATTTTGATGACAGAGAGGAATATCAAAACCATATTGCTGCATGATACAAGGCTCTCCTTTGTATAAGCACTTGAAACACTGTCTTGTATTATATACAGAATCGAGATTGCTCTCAATTCATGACTTGTCGAATCTGTGTTTTTGAGAACTCCAATGGGGACCTCAGAAACTTGATAATTTTCACATAGATTTCAGGGACCAAAATATTGTCCGCCTTCATTACTTGCTAATCTGCTAAAACTTACCTTGAACTGTTTCCTCTTGCATAGTTTATGCACCTTGAATTCCTGAATACTAATGTGATAGGCAATTTCCAGACCCATGTGTACGGAAGACCAGCTGTGTTTTCGAGGCCTCTAATCTTTGCAACTGCATTCATGAGCTTCTTCTCAGTTGTTATAGCATTATTTAAGGTAATTGGGGTTTCATTTGAATATGGTTAAATGTTGATCCCATCAAATGTTAAATTTGTTTTACTTTTTGTGTTTTATTCTCTTTGTACAACATGCATATTTTGTAATTAAAAAAGTCTGGCCTTGTAGCTCTATCAATTTGAATGATATATTCTCTTGTAAGCTCACACTAGATTTTATGCAGGATATACCTGATATTGAAGGAGATAAAATATTTGGAATTCGATCTTTTACAGTACGTTTGGGTCAAGAGCGGGTCAGTTTCAAATTAAGGCTTCTCAGCATAAGTATCCCTCGGGTTACTTTTATCAATTTTTTCTTAATATCCTCATGTGCGTAATTGACTTGGCAGGTGTTTTGGACTTGTATCTCTCTACTACAAATGGCTTATGGTGTTGCCATTTTAGTTGGAGCGACATCTTCCTTCGTTTGGAGCAAAATCATCACTGTAATGTCATTAGTTTCTTAATCAGTGAACCACATCAATGGCATCTATAAAATTTTGTACAATTGAATGATTCAGCTTCTCTTTCCTATGTAGTTTAGGCTTCGTTATTGCATCATAAGAATTTCTATGAATAAAAAACCGTTTCATGTAGTAGTAGAGGCTTTTCGCTCACTTATTAATCACAAAATGATTTTATCCAAGTGAAATTTTAATATCTAACAAACAATTCAATAGATTTTTTGAATAAGGAGCCCTAGAAATTGATTTACTCTCTCTGAATTGGTTCAGGTTTTGGGTCATGGCATGTTGGCTTCAATACTATGGAACCGTGCCAAATCTGTCGATTTAAAGAGCAAAACTGCAATAACTTCCTGTTATATGTTCGTCTGGAAGGTAACCATCATTCTTAGCTTATTTAATGCAAATTTTGTGCAAGAATGCTATCAAAGTTTACAACTCAATGTAGCCTGTGACTATTTTACTTGGAGTTGGGGGTCAATTCAACTTGTTACATGAGCTACCGCTGGACAAGTTGATTTTACATATTGCTTTTCTGTGTATCCTCTTCATTAGTTCAAACACCAATCCAGGTTTTGACACAAGTGGTTATTGAATCATTCAGCCACTCTCTTAACAATTATATCTAGGTTATGGCCTTTGCATTTAGGAGCTGATGAACCAACCACCAATATTATTAAGTATGCTAGAACATTATGAAATTTAGATTATTTCAATTCTATTTTCATTTGTTTCGAATATCATTTTGACCTATCACCAGCTCTACCTTTCTTGATGCCCTGGCACGCTATTACATATTCATTGTTTGAGAGATCGTTAATTTCATTCACCTTCCCTAAAGTTTGCCTTAGTTAAAGGCAAGCCTTTCTGATTTGAAAAATACGTTGGGATCTCTCAACTAGATGTTTTTGATAAATTTTATGAAATTTTAAAAAAAAAATTAGGTGAAGTCTTTGAAGAACTTCATCGGAGATTTATTGTCGCTTTTAAAACTTCAAAGGAAATTTCTTTGTGTTTTTCAAATTAAAGTTTGCCTGAAATTATGTCAAATTATAATTTCATGATTATTGTTTGCTCTTGCAGCTGTTCTATGCAGAGTATTTGCTGATACCACTTGTGAGATGAGTGTAAAGAGCAGGAGCAGAGTAACTTGCAAGCAAAGGGCTTGTTATTAATGTGTATGTAATTTCTGTTCCTGAGTGCTGACTCCATTTTTGGGTATGACCGCCAATGAGGCATCAATAATTTCTATGCTCTTGATCATCATAACAATATTTACCTCATTGGGCGCGTATTACGTATTTACCGAGCTACCCCTTTGGTCTTATGCGTGTGTAACTCAATAATGCATTCATTGATATACTTTATGTCACATGATCTTTAAAAGTTAAGGAAAGTTTCAGTCAACAATTTACTTTGGATACAATCTTTTATTGAAACGAGGGTCTAAAATTTCAATTATGCTGAATTCAAATTGGATTTACTTCATATCTAAATTCTCCGATAGCGGATTTGATTTAGGTTAATTGATCCTCATGAATTCTATTGCATATCACCTAAACTTGTTTATTATCAATTCTAGGTTAAGCCATTTTGTTTTTTGGAATTCGATATATAGTTATCCATAGAGCATTTGTGAGTATCCCATGACTTATTGTTAAGAGCTCTAACTTTCTGTACATTCTTTGTGTGGACAGAATTACAACAACGATTCAAGGATACATATTTGGATCATCTAATTGCAGATTTGTACATTGCAGGTCAACAAGCCATATCTTCCTTTAGCATCAGGAGAATATTCTTTCAAAACTGGTGTGCTGATTGTTGCATCCTTTTCCATCATGGTATGAGCTTTAAAGTTATTCCTCTAATTTGTTTGGATTTAACTATAATTGAATAATCTGCTGTTTACAGTGGTATAAATTTAATTTGCAAATTGCAGACAGGAAAATTTTCCTCAGTTGTTGCCCCCTATGATCAACTAAATATTACTGTTGAAGAAGAGACTAAATAGATCTTGTGGTGGTTAAAGTTATTCTGTTTTAGAGAAGGAATATCAGTTTCTTAATTGAATTCATTTGTAACCTATTTTAACAATCTTAATTTTTCTGTCTTACTTTTTTATCATCAAAATATAAGTGGCTTTGATTAAGCAAGGGGGAAAAAAGAGTATATAAAGCTGATCATGTTTCATTCATCTTGAAAAATAAACTACTAGTTTTATATACTAGGATAATCAAACAAGGAATAGGTCTTTCAGAACTTCAGTGCTCTATTTGAGATTCTGAAAGGTTAGAGCTATAGTACCTGTGATACAATAACTTGAATTTTTTCTGACATTAAGAATTTTTTTTTATATTCTAGTAGCAAAACAGTAATAAATCCAATAGACATAAAATGACCCTCACACATGCTGGATCTTGGATTAGAAAAAGTTTTTGGTAGGAAAACATCTCATCGGCTCTTCTCTTTACCTTCTAAAGAGAGCTTTACTTCTCGAAACCAACAATGATTGTGCCATCAGTAGCTTATTTTGTACTTCACATATGGCTTATTTTTAGAGTTTGGATATTTATTATAATGCCCTTCCCAAAGATTCTAACTTGTCTGTCTGAAATGAATTGGGGTCTTTTACTTTTTCCAGTAGATAGTTACTGTGATTTTGAAATGTCAATAGAATTCCTTGTTTAAATTTTGCAACATGAATAAACTGACCAGGTAAAAACCTCTTGGATTTAACTTTGAATTCTCAGTAATTTTTAGGTAAACACAGATGAAGTGTAATGTGCCATTTGTAAAAGTAGGCTACTGTTGTTTCAATTGTTTAACTCTGCAAATCTGATTGTTCACGATCCGGATTCTTAACTGCAAAGATGCTAAATAATTTCCTTTCTACCTTTACAGAGTTTTTGGCTTGGATGGGTTGTTGGTTCATGGCCGCTGTTTTGGGCTCTTTTCATCAGTTTTGTACTAGGAACTGCATATTCAATCAATGTGAGTTATTATTACAATATTGGCATGTGATTTGTTTTCACTCCCAACTAATTTTAGGAAGCACAAATTGATATGTTTTACTGCTCTCAGTGCAGCATACATATGACTCTTCATTGCATAATCTTGCATTTGTATGGTCCTCTTCATGCTTTCAAATAGTTTGTGATGAAGTCAAGAGGTACTGCGTTAGATTTACAGGAATACAATGCAGTCATGTTGTCAATTTTACGCATCTAAAGTATCTACAAAACATATCAGAGATAATGTCTACTCTGCATTCCTCTTAAGCGCTTGATCTGGAAAATGCTTGTATTTGCTTCAGCATCACAACTAATTAAATACAAAGCTAGATATCTATGTGGAAGTATATTAGGTTTCTATTTGCTTTCAGGGCTGAGATAGCATTAGAAACTTCAAAAAAATCTCTGTGCTGCTTGGAGTAGAGACATTCATTCAAATTATGGAGTTGGCTATTAGAGTTAACAGTCATTTATCTTTGTGCTATTTCAGTTGCCACTGTTGAGATGGAAAAGGTTTGCAGTGGTTGCAGCTATGTGCATCCTAGCAGTTCGAGCAGTAATAGTTCAACTTGCTTTTTATCTTCACATGCAGGTCATTTTTCACCTATTTCCTTTTCAAGTCTCTTAGAAGTTTAATTATTGCCTTAGGAAATTTTGTATCTTACGATTAAACATATTGTTATTTTGATTTTATCTAATTTCTTTGACTGAGTTTTCTTATTTGAGCTGGTGTTATGTTAGTTATTGTAAGTAAATTTTTGTTCTGTATTTTATTTAGGTCTTGGCCAATATATAAGTTGTCTTCTTATTCTCAGTTTTGTAGAAGACTTGATGGTTATTGAATAAGGAAATCTGAGTTTCTTCGTCAAATGTTTTGTCCCCTTTCTGATTCTTCTAGTTTATTGGCCCTCTATTCTCCTTATTTCTCTTTATTTCTTTATCTCTTTTTCTGCCCCACCCGTTGAACATTACTCTCTCTTTGGTGTGAGATACATGGCTTATAGACCTCGTTTCTGATTAAAAATCAGGATGTCTATATAACCACACTGATATTGATTTTGATGACAGTGAGGAATATCAAAACCATATTGATGCATGATACAAGGCTCTCCTTTGTATAAGCACTTGAAACACTGTCTTGTATTATATACAGAATCGAGATTGCTCTCAATTCATGACTTGTCGAATCTGTGTTTTTGAGAACTCCAATGGGGACCTCAGAAACTTGATAATTTTCACATAGATTTCAGGGACCAAAATATTGTCCGCCTTCATTACTTGCTAATCTGCTAAAACTTACCTTGAACTGTTTCCTCTTGCATAGTTTGTGCACCTTGAATTCCTGAATACTAATGTGATAGGCAATTTCCAGACCCATGTGTACGGAAGACCAGCTGTGTTTTCGAGGCCTCTAATCTTTGCAACTGCATTCATGAGCTTCTTCTCAGTTGTTATAGCATTATTTAAGGTAATTGGGGTTTCATTTGAATATGGTTAAATGTTGATCCCGTAAAATGTTAAATTTGTTTTACTTTTTGTGTTTTATTCTCTTTGTACAACATGCATTTTTTGTAATTAAAAAAGTCTGGCCTTGCAGCTCTATCAATTTGAATGATATATTCTCTTGTAAGCTCACACTAGATTTTATGCAGGATATACCTGATATTGAAGGAGATAAAATATTTGGAATTCGATCTTTTACAGTACGTTTGGGTCAAGAGCGGGTCAGTTTCAAATAAAGGCTTCTCAGCATAAGTATCCCTCGGGTTACTTTTATCAATTTTTTCTTAATATCCTCATGTGCGTAATTGACTTGGCAGGTGTTTTGGACTTGTATCTCTCTACTACAAATGGCTTATGGTGTTGCCATTTTAGTTGGAGCGACATCTTCCTTCGTTTGGAGCAAAATCATCACTGTAATGTCATTAGTTTCTTAATCAGTGAACCACATCAATGGCATCTATAAAATTTTGTACAATTGAATGATTCAGCTTCTCTTTCCTATGTAGTTTAGGCTTCGTTATTGCATCATAAGAATTTCTATGAATAAAAAACCGTTTCATGTAGTAGTAGAGGCTTTTCGCTCACTTATTAATCACAAAATGATTTTATCCAAGTGAAATTTTAATATCTAACAAACAATTCAATAGATTTTTTGAATAAGGAGCCCTAGAAATTGATTTACTCTCTCTGAATTGGTTCAGGTTTTGGGTCATGGCATGTTGGCTTCAATACTATGGAACCGTGCCAAATCTGTCGATTTAAAGAGCAAAACTGCAATAACTTCCTGTTATATGTTCGTCTGGAAGGTAACCATCATTCTTAGCTTATTTAATGCAAATTTTGTGCAAGAATGCTATCAAAGTTTACAACTCAATGTAGCCTGTGACTATTTTACTCGGAGTTGGGGGTCAATTCAACTTGTTAGATGAGCTACCGCTGGACAAGTTGATTTTACATATTGCTTTTCTGTATATCCTCTTCATTAGTTCAAACACCAATCCAGGTTTTGACACAAGTGGTTATTGAATCATTCAGCCACTCTCTTAACAATTATATCTAAGTTATGGCCTTTGCATTTAGGAGCTGATGAACCAACCACCAATCTTATTATGTATGCTAGAACATTATGAAATTTCGATTATTTCAATTCTATTATTCATTTGTTTCGAATATCATTTTGACCTATCACCAGCTCTACCTTTCTTGATGCCCTGGCACGCTATTACATATTCATTGTTTGAGAGATCGTTAATTTCATTCACCTTCCCTAAAGTTTGCCTTAGTTAAAGGCAAGCCTTTCTGATTTGAAAAATACGTTGGGATCTCTCAACTAGATGTTTTTGATAAATTTTATGAAATTTTAAAAAAAAAATTAGGTGAAGTCTTTGAAGAACTTCATCGGAGATTTATTGTCGCTTTTAAAACTTCAAAGGAAATTTCTTTGTGTTTTTCAAATTAAAGTTTGCCTGAAATTATGTCAAATTATAATTTCATGATTATTGTTTGCTCTTGCAGCTGTTCTATGCAGAGTATTTGCTGATACCACTTGTGAGATGAGTGTAAAGAGCAGGAGCAGAGTAACTTGCAAGCAAAGGGCTTGTTATTAATGTGTATGTAATTTCTGTTCCTGAGTGCTGACTCCATTTTTGGGTATGACCGCCAATGAGGCATCAATAATTTCTATGCTCTTGATCATCATAACAATATTTACCTCATTGGGTGCGTATTACGTATTTACCAAGCTACCCCTTTGGTCTTATGCGTGTGTAACTCAATAATGAGTTCATTGATATACTTTATGTCACATGATCTTTAAAAGTTGAGGAAAGTTTCAGTCAACATTTACTTTGGAGACAATCTTTTATTGAACCGAGGGTCTAAAATTTCAATTATGCTGAATTCAAATTGGATTTACTTCATATCTAAATTCTCCGACAGCAGATTTGATTTAGGTTAATTGATCCTCATGAATTCTACTGAATATCACCTAAACTTGTTTGTTATCAATTCTAGGTTAAACCATTTTGTTTTTTGGAATTCGATATATAGTTATCCATAGAGCATGTGGAAGAGATGTAAAGTATACACTGAATTAATAATTAATTAATGAAACATGTCAAATCCAAGTAGAGGCAAATCCATAAATTTATATTAGGATGGGTCAAAATAAAAACTAATTATACATTAATATTTTCGTTTATTAATATTTCTGTTAAGATGGCTAAAATCCAATAATTGTATGTATTAATATTTTTTTTTTTTTAAATTTAAGTAGCCCACCCTCAACTAATACCGCATTCGCTCTTGAGTACAAGGTTTAAACATTAATAAAAGAGATAGACAGTATTGTGTTAAGAAGCTTTAAACATGTTTAAAATCTTATAAATATTTTAGCTTTAACAAAAAGGTGTTTACGTTGATGAGTTATTACATATCTGCAAGTTTAAAGATGTGGTAATAACTCGAAAGTAAATTACTGTCCCGAATAATTGGAGATAAATCTTTTATTTTGTCTTAAACTTTTAATGTAGCATAACAAATATTTTTTGTAACATACAAATAATTATTGCTATGTTGAGGAAGTTCCTTAAGATGAGACCTATAACTTATTACAATGTAGAATTTATTTTTATTTATAACCAGCTTAATTGGGTATATATATATATATTGATTCAATCCAATGAGTGAATTCAACCATATTTAAATACGGTCCTCATATAATTATATCAGGAATTCAGGATGATCTTAACTGAATAATTTTCGTATATTAACTTGTAATTATCAATAAACCCTAAATAGAGGTATATTAATGGTTTTTGAAAATAGGTGAGACTCTTAATTATTAGTCTCCCCAGATAAAATTAACCTCTAAACTTGAATGTTTTTGAAAGGGTTATTTGATTGACATTCTTACAAATTTTGAATATTTTTCAAGCAATCATAAGCTACAAAAATGTATTAGTATAAGAATTATACTAAAACTAAAATGAATGCAAATATATAAATTTAAGAAGAAAAAAAACTCTTATTAATTTTACGTACTATGCTAGATAAAAAATAAATGTTAATTTTTACTCACTACTATGAACAATTACTTCTTTAAAAAGTTAATGTAACCCCAATTAAAAAGAGTTTATGACTTCATATATAAATTTTAGGTATGTAATCAGCAATATTACACCAGTTCAACAAAAGCCCAAACAAAAAGAAAAAAATTGGGCTCACGGGCTCTATTATTTACATCTATAAGTGAAAAAAAAATATTTTTAGCCTCCACCTAATTGACGATTACCGCTACTTTTAAATTTATTTTTGGGAGAACGCATTTCCCATGAAAGATTTGGCGAACGATACCGGTCAAGTTTCAAAATGACATTTTCCCACCCACCATTATATTTCATTAGGAAAATCTGTTACTATTCAACTATAAAGACAAAAATACTTTTTACTATTTGATTTAATAATTTTTTTATTATTTTATGTCGTGAAGGGTCAATTACCAATATACCTCTCCTTAAATTTGAAAATTGTATATAAATTTTAGTTAAATTCTCGTAAAACATTATTTTTAATAAAATGTTAGAGAGACAAATTATAAATTTACATTCCCATTAACAATAATAATACCCTGTAATTGAGCAGTAATAAAAGGTTGCTGGGTGGATATCAAAATAAGCATTGTGAAAATTCTACAAAGAGAGAAGAAGCATAAGTATGACAAAACTAGATCAGTTAGTTTTTTTTATTTTTTTGATTGGTTTCTGTCTCTCCTTTCACTTCTTTACTACCCACACCACACACTCTTTGGAACAACAACATTTTGCAGAATCAAAGTTTTATTTTTCTAGTATTCGCATAGACCATATTACCCACTACCCAGAACCCATATGGCTTCTCTAACATCTCTCTTTCATTCTTCAACCTCTTCTTCTTCTCCTTCCTCCAACAAACCCATTAAAATTCTCAATCTCTACTAATATTATTCAACTGAAATTCATATACAGATTTTTTTAGGAACCCAAACAACACAACATAACATCCAGCAAACCCATTGAAGTTTTTTGATCTCTACAGAAATTTAACAATTAAAATTCATATACTAACTTTTTTCACAAACCCACACAACACAAAATTTAACATCCAACAAACGCTAAACACTCGTTTCAAGAAAAGAATCTTCAAATCCTCCGGCCACTAAAAATCCACAAAAAAATAAACCCCAAAATCACAAACCCACAAACCATAAGATCGAAAAGAAAAAGTATGCGGGAAAAGAAAGGGGGTTGTGGTGTCGGCGTCAGCGTCACGGTCGAGTTGGGTGTCTGTGATGCTACCTTCGGCCGCGATTTGGTTGGCTGCAAACTAAATTGGTGGTGTTGTAGCCAGTCCAGCTCGTGGCTAAAGGTTGCGACGCTGCCAGCTCAGCTGGCAGTTGCAGGTTACGCCGGTGTTGTAGCCTCCAACGTAGAAGGAAGAGATGATGGCGAATAAAAGACAAGGAAAAAAAATAATAAAGAAAAAAGAAAAGAGAGCAAACGAAAAGAGAAGGAAAAAGCATATTTCAATTTTTAAATTTTGATTTATGTGGCTTCATATAAATTGACCATCCTACCCTTTTTCAGAACAAATTTTCTTAACAGAACATAACGATGGGTGGGAAAGTATCATTTTGAAACTTAACGGATAGGAAAGTGTGGTTTTACCAAACCTTGGGTGGGAAAATGTCGTTCTCCCTTTATTTTTTGTTTTGATAAATTTAATCTTAATTTAAATTACTATAAATAATATTACATTTCTAAATGCACTCATGGTCCATTTTATTTTTTGCTTTAATATTTTAACATTTAATCTTATACAAAACCTAACCCTAAATTTTAATAACCTAATCCTAAATTTTCATAATCCTTGAAACTTTTTGTTTGATCTTAAATATTTGTTTGTTTGATGAAAATATAATACTAAAACTATGGAAAATATGACGACAACTACCGAAAATACAAAAATGAAGAAATGGTGAAGATGAAATGAAGCTGAAGTGAAGAATGAAGATTGAATGAAGCTGGAATGAAGAAACTGTGAGTGGAAGAGAGAATGTCAAATGAAAACTGAAAAAGAGAAATTAGATTTAGGTTTTTACAAATTAGGATAAGGTTAAGAGTAACCCGATTTTGGCTTTAAAGCAATTGGACCAGTGGTTCGCTACAATTACTGTGGTCCAACCACAGGTCAATCTAGGTGAATCATTAATCCCGGTTTTTTGCTTAACCCGGCCCGGCTCAATGACCGGTTCCCGATCAAACGGGTTAAACCGGCCGGGCCGGACCGGGTTTTAAAACATTGCTGATAAGTATGTTATATATTCAATATGAGCATTTTATGGTGTGTACTTGAGAGCACTACTCTTATCATATAATGGGTTGTATAATATAACATAATAAGACCCTTTTAACGACCAAAAATACAAAATAAAATAACTGGTGCAAAAGTAATAACAAAAATTTGACCGCAGGATTGCCTCTTCGATTCTCGATTAGAGCCCCAAAATAAATTTACTTATCAGATTTCAGCTCCTCAAAACACCTAATTTGCTGCAGCTGCCAATAAACGAGAAAACAAATTCGCCAACGTCAAAGAATGGTAATCTCTGTGATATGCAACAAATTGTACACTAATTGCAACCGGAACAAACATGTATCAAGGCACTAAAATAAAGTTTCCAAATGGAACATATAAGTGGAGTACCTTTGGCAGATGGTTCATCCTGAGGTTTCATGGCTGGGAAGAGAAGAACCTCCTGTGACAAATAAAATACAAGAGATGATGAATGACTGCTAACAGTGCGAACCAATGACAGGGAAGAAATGCATGAGAGACCACAAACCTTGATGTTTTGTGAGTCGGTAAACAACATGGTCAGCCGATCGATTCCCAAACCCCATCCACCAGTTGGAGGCAATCCGTACTCTAAAGCCGTACAAAATGTCTCATCCAGAGCCATTGCTTCGTCATCACCTGATTGTCGGTCCTGATATTTAAAGAAGATATCAGATTTTTCACAAAATTCC